TGGAGAACCGGTGCTCCAGAGTATAGAGAACTTTCGCTGGATGGGCGGCTGATACCAAGACTTCCATCCAGCGGGCTGCGGTCCAGGTGTTCTTGTGGTGTGCAGAAAAGACCTGTGGTGGTTCTGCATTCTCACTGCCCAGCAGAATGGCAGAGAGTTTCATGGGTCCTGTGCGATTCATTAGGATGACCGATTTTCTACGTCCAGTCTGGCTGTGGAGAGAGTGGGTGGTCTGGTGAGCAGACAGGCGGCAGGCTTTGAACTTGATGGTTTTATTTACGGGCTGCATCAGCTCTTCTGGAAGGCTCAGAAGATCGGTTAGGCCCCGTACTATGGGGTGATGTGGCCATTTGCATTTGTCTGCCATAGAAAATCCATTTTATGAAGTGGAAGCGAAGCAGAATGGCATAGTTGGATTTTAACCACTCACGTTTTGATCTTCCCTCTGGGGAGTGATTATGCGATTTCAAAGATGAGAAAACTACAAAGAAGAAGAGAGTGAGGTGCCTTGGCCTGAAGGAGTGGCTTTTAAATGAGTAATTACCGAGGATGTTGTTGCTAAGGATTGTGGGCCCCTGAGTGCCACACTTTACAGAGGCTGCCTTCATTTTTAAATCCATGCTTCAGTAAAACCCGGGGTTGAGATGAGGTGGAAATGGCTGCACCGTTGCGTTAGGCCCACCCAGTCGTTATTCCCAAACATTTATTTGCAGACTGGAAGAAGTGTCCCCAGCCCTCAGTCAGGGCTCCACTTCTGTTCATGATAATGAGTAACATTGTTTTCATGATTTGGAAGAAACTCTTCTATTTCAGTGGTTCCCTTAACCAAACATTTCAAAAGTATAATTCATTTGTCAAGCACTTGGTCTTGACGTGTACTGATGAAAATTTCAGCCTTGCATATTCTGCTTTGACCAATTCGAGGCAGATTTTCTTAAAGACAGGGTGGCTGTTAATGGGGACAGACATAACTAATTCATATGTAGGGAGGTCACTGTCTCCTCGGCAGGCTTGGGTGACAAAGGCACCTGGGGGGTGACATGAGATGTGAAGGACGTGTAAGAGCTGGGAAACACCGTGGGTGTCACTTAGTGCGGTGACTTCGTCTCTATGGATGGGGTCTTTCGATTGCTAGGAATGGAGGCCGCTCAAGTTAGAGCAAGAGAAATGGGCGTTATGATAAGGATGCAAACAGATCTTGTGGGGTCTATGAATAGGACACAAAGCTCGGCTTGGCCCCAGGGGAACCAGAAAGCTGGCAGAAACTAGGCCCGCCTTTGCCACCACCTATGAAAATCCCTCTGGTCATTCCTCCTTGCTCATCAGTGGGCAGAAGAACTGGACTAACTGCAGGAGCTGACACGGCCTTCCTGTGACTTCATGTAGTGCCTGGACCAGAGTCCCAGAGCCAAATTCTAGAAGAATCTTAGTGGCTCAGCCTGCATTCTGTGTCCACCCTTGTCCTGTCAGCTGTAGCTACCTGGGTGGTCAAGGAGTGTGAACCAGGTCTGCTAGGCTTTCATTATACAGATGAGAGAAATGAACACCTAGGAGGGACGTGGCTTGTTGGTGGTTACATAGCCCATTATTGACTGATAGACAGCAGTGGAACCCAGGGCTCCGTGTTCCTCTACAGTCCCTACCAGGCATTGTGCTGAAATTGTGACAAAACATGACATCTGTCCCATGTATCTTGTAGGCGAGCTGTGACATATTTAAATAATACATGATAAATGCTGTAATTGATGTATGGACAAAGTGTGATGCTGACGCAGAGGACACCGACTAATTCATCAGTAGATAATATACAATAATCACTTACAGTAATACTTTATAATAATATTAAAATCGTTGCCAGTTAGGAAACTTGCTGTGTAACTGTGTGCTGAGTATTTTGCACGTCTAATCTAATCCTAATACTAATTTTCCAGAAAAATCTGCGCCTGCATTTTTAATTCAAGGATGATATTATCTGAAATTACCTATGATTTTAATCCAATCTGAGTAATATGCATTAATTATCTACATGTAAATCACTGTGGGAACATTAAAAAGAAGACTGTGGCCCTGCTCCTTGTGAGTCTAGAGAAGACAAACAACATGTTCACAAATTACTATTTTTTAAAGGCAGGCTTTTAACAATGGAGGTAACATTGGTTAAAGCATTAAATGTTTTGTGTATACAGCATTATAAGTTGATATCTGTATACATGCTGGCGTGTTCACCACCAAAAGTCGAGTTTTCATCCATCACCATATATTTAACCCCCTGAGTCATTTGTCCCCACAGCCCCTTCCCCTCTGTAACCACCAATGACTTCTACGAATCTATGAGTATTTGTTTTGTTTTGCTTGTTCAGTTGTTTCATTTTTGTTTTATGTTCCATTCCACATATGAGTGAAATCATATGGTTTTTGTCCCTTTCTGTCTGACTTTCGTTATTTAGCACAATATCCTCTAGGTCCATCCATGTTGTCGCAAATGGCAATAGTTCAGTTTTATGACTGAGTGGTGTCCCATTGTGCATACGTATCACCTCTTCTGTATCCAGTCATCCATTGATGGTCACTTAGGTGGTTTCCATGTCTTGGCTATCGTCAGTAATGCTGCCATAAACATAGGGGTGCATATGTATTTTTGAATTAGTGTTTTCATATTTTTGGGGTAAATACCCAGAAGAGGAATTGCTGGCTCATATGGTAATTCTGTTCTTACTTATTTGAGGAACCGCCATACCATTTTCCGTA